CTCTCTCTCTCTCTCTCTCTCTCTCTCTCTCTCTCTCTCTCTCTCTCATTATTGAGGACTCACAAACTAAAAGAACCTTTAAGGAGATAAAGTGGGGTCTCATACTGAGATGGGAAAAGGACTCTCCTCTGGGTTATAATGACTGTTAAATTCTTATGAGAAATGATTTTCAATAATTTCACTTCTTTTGCTATCTCATCTTTTGAATTTTTTTTCCTACCAGGTGTCTAGGATTGGATAAGAGTTTCTTCTGATTAAATGCAGCCTCTGAATACTGTCTGCTCTGTCATGCATAATGTGTGTGGACATCGGCTTGACTTCTCTATTAACTGTTGTGGCCAGGACCCCATGACTTATTAAAGAACATTAAATCTATCAGCTTATCTCCAGACCATATGAGCTACTTTGGACTTGATTGTTTTCAACTCAAAACTCTCATATAATTTATTCCCAGTATTTATAAGCCTGTATGATGGGCGAAGTCATAGGCTGAGTGCCTCCAGAGGATGGGAGACATTATGCTGGGCTTTTTATATAGAGTATCTCATTTAATTTGAACAACGCTTTAGAGGTAGATATGCATATTTTCATTTTATAGATGAGGTCACTGAAACCCAGGGAGTTTTAAGTAGCTTACCCAAGCTTAATTGTGATCGAACCAAGATTTAATCCCAGATCTAAGCAACTTCAAAGTATGTTTTCTCCTCGCGATGCTATAGAGAGACTGAGTTTTTTAAAGAGTTTCCAGAGAATTCTGTGATGTTTCTGGTGAATGGTGATTTAAAGAATCCCTTTCTGATTACAGCCCTGTCTTGTACAAGATGCCACTGCCACTACTACGACAAAGCTCCAAACCTGAAACAAAGAAATTTCAGTCTGGCAAAATTGTGCCCTGTGATCATGACCTCTCCAACAAGGTTAGAACAAGTCATTTTTTTTCTCACATAGTCTTTGTATTAGCTCAGTACTATTTTTACCCCAAATCTTTTAGAATATTTCTGATTAATCTGAGAAAGTGGTGAGGGTTGGAAGCCCTTAAAAGTTGGATAATACCAGCAAGTTAGAACCTGGGGAGAAAGTTCTTTCTCATAAATATATGATTCACATGAAGGCCTCACTCCACAATTTTCAAAACCAAACAATATTCATTTCTCATTAGTGAAGTTGTCTATACTCTTTCTCTGAGAAGTTCTAAGCAACTTGCCAGGAGGCTGTACATCCTGGAAAGAGTATGAAGATTATATCAGCAAATGTGTTACCATGCTTTTTATAGAAACAGGTTGAGCATCACATTTGAAGAATGTGGGTACAGTTTAACTCTGATGTTTTGACATTTAAGATAGTCTGACATTGTTATTCTGACCCTGATATGTTCTATGTTCATCATCACATATATTTTAATCAGAATTATATTGACACTGATGAACTGTCATCAAGAGAATATTTCCTAGAGCAAACATAATTAGGCCAATTTAATTTTCTTGATTGATTTCTCTCAGTGCACATAAACATTTGCTAATCATTTTCACTTTTCTTATTAAAATGATTTTCACAGAGGGTTCAGTTTTATTCCATGTAAATTTATCAGGAAAGATTTGTTATATTGGTCAAGATTTTGTCTATATCCATTTTTCTTATAGGATATCTGCCATTTTAAGTTTCTTTTGTGGCAGTTATTTCTCCAAACCAAACTTTCTTGGAGCACATTTTTGCAAATCTAAGTTCTATTAGGCTCAGTTTCTACTGTTGTACTGATTATTTCTACCAGTAATACTAAGTAGGAATTGGATAATAGCCTGACATTTTATTTCTCATCTAATTTGTGAGAAAATAATATTTAGTTTTTTTGCTAATAATTTCTACTAAGATTATTTATCATGAATAAGATAAAAGACTAATACTTTACTTATTTCTCAGCTTAATCAGTTAGAAAACAAAAGTAATTTTTCTCAGATCTTCAAGGAATGTTACATTGTGCTGGAATAGTTTGTTGTATCATGAATCCAATTCTTTAAATTTCTGATCACTTACTATGCCATGTACTGATGGTTACTGGCATACCTGGAGAACAGAGCAAATGAGTCAGATCCTAGGGTCCTGTTTCACATTGTAAGAACTGTCTCATATAGGTAGAAGGTAGGGTTGTTCTCAGAGTTTCATAAAGGAAATCTAAGACCTAGGAGACATTAACTAAACAAAAGCTGTTAAGGAATAGAAGAGCCCTGTAGTATGGCTTGCCCTGACTTCTTGCATAGATACCTAGGAAGAAAACTCCCTCTGCTCTAGAATAGTCACTCTTCTTCTTCTCCCTTATATTCACTAACAATTATTAAAGATTAATCTGATTAACCAAACTCTTCTTAAAATTATAAATCTTTCCATGTGAGGTTTATAATCATATTGGACAGCATACTTTTTTTGTGGTGCTGGGGATTGAACCCAAGGCCTTGTACATGTGAGGCAAACACTCTACCAACTGAGCTATATCCCCAGCCCCAACAGCATATTTTTATAGGACTGGGGATGTGGCTCAGTGGTCAAGTGCCCCTGAATTCAATTCCTGATAACCCCCCAAATGCTATTTATGTTCATTTATAGTTTATATAAATATTTTTGATGGTGCTGGGGATTGAACGTATGCACGCTAGGAAAACACCCTACCATTGAGCTACACCCCCAGCCCTTTATACAAACTTAAAAAAAAACTGTATTCTCTTTTTTTGATCCTTAAGTACTTAGTCAAGTAGGTTATCATTCTAATTTTACTGATAAGAAAATTGAGGCTCAGAGATTAAGTGATTTGTCTATGGTCAGCAGTTAGTAAAGAGCTGATTCTGAATCAGGATTTAGGTATGTACACTATTATCCTTATTAGAAATGTCTTAGATCAGCTACTTTAACATAAATATTTGTTAGATTATTGAACTAAGTTACCAGGAAGCACCAATATTAAAGCAACGACTAGGAGTGGTGGTGGTTAATCTTGGATAGGATATCCATAATTATGAAAAGAGTAAGAGGAAAAATGAGCTTCATCAAGCTATTTCCTCATTCTGAGAGTTACTCTGAAGGTTACCTTGTCTCTTCACAGTCTTGTCTCCATCATCAGTGACAGTTATCTTCTGGGATTCTACTAGCATCTCTGAGGACTGAAATTTTCTTTTGCTGTAGTTTATGCAGCTTATCATATGTATCCCTAGTTACTTGGAAATTCTGGAGTTTTTCTAAGCCTTGAAGATGACCCATAGTCCCTGAAGAGACTGTTCATAATTGGATATGTCATTTACCTCTTCTTTTTCAGAAGGGGGAGAATCACCAAGCAAAAATATCTCCATTTTCACCTCAGGGGATGGTCAAAAAGAGATCAGCTTTTGAAGATCTTACCAATGTGAGTATACTAGTTCAATTCTTTGCTGTGATTTTTGCACAAGCCTTATATAACCTCTTCCTTGAAGGATCTTTCCAGTTACTAGACACTGACCCTCTTTGGAATGGTAAGAGCGGGTTTTATTTGGAATCAATGACCTAATTTCACAAACTGCAGGGGCTCTTCTACTGATACAAACCATTTGGGTCAATTGGTAGGATTCTCTGGGCGTGGCAGATAGTGTGATTAGCAGATATGAAATTGTGGATCACTATGAAAACAATGGGATATTGTGTTTTCCTCAGGTCCAGAGGTGGCTCAGCTGTCTTCCTAGGCTCTGGAGATAAGTATTTTGGTGTAATCATTGTATTCTATGGTAGTATTTATCGATTCAAGCACTATGGATATTTTGGGCAGGACAATTTTTTTTTATTGTTTAGGCTGGACCTCAACCAGCGTATCTGTCTCCCAGATATTATATTCCAGCATCATCCCAGTCATAGTGACAATCAAAAATACCTCCTGAATCCACAGAACCATTGAGAACCAAAGTTCAAAGATCTGGTCTTCAACTATGAAAATCTAGAATCTCAATTTTGATTTGAATTCTTGAGTATACCTCCAAGTCACCTACCTTCTGGTATTATTAAGGTACCAGCAAAAATAATGATTAATAGACTATTGTTAGTTGAATATAAAATCAGGACAAATGATAGTCTTTGGTCATAGAAAATAGTAATAACTGATGCCTACTGAATGCTTACTATGTGCTTATTAGGCAATAATTTAAGTACTTTTTTCCTATATCCACTTACTTAAATATAACTCTATGAGGTAGATACTGTAATTATCTCTATTTTACAGATGAGGACTTTATCATTATTGACATTGAAGTCTATTTCATCCAGGCTATAGAGAAACCTGGTGAACTATTCTTGCCTCTTATAATAGAGTGCTTCTATGGCTGCCAAAATACCTGTATCTACCAGGTGATGCTTTAACTCACTGGGCAAGACAGGATAAGCTTTAGCAAGGTTCTTTTCTTTGGATCCCTGCTATTTAGAATCAGTGTGATCACCTTTCTACTAATGCAGTGTCTTTTCTCTGCAGATTTCAGCATGTATGTTAGCTTTCTGTGTAATTTCAGATTTGCTATCAGTTGGTAGAAAGAGCTCCCTTACATACATATACCTATAATTTAGGTTCTTTCATGGCTTATTTAACCACACATCTAGAAACTTGATTGAAATAAGGTAGCCACAGATGCAGTCCATCTTTTTTGTAACTTTCGTTTACCTGCAGAGCCCATGGAGGAATGCAGTGGAACTGTCCAAGGTGTCTTTGTCCATTTAGGCTACTATAACAAAATACCTTAAGCTGGGTAACCTGTTGTTTATACAACAAAAATTTATTGCTCACAGTTTTAGAGACTGGGAAATCCAAACTCAGGGTGCTGGTGAATTTGTTATCTGATAAAGTATTCATTTTTCATGATCGATGTTTTCTAGCTCTGTCCTCACAAGCCAGTGGGGAAATCAAGCTTCTTTAGGCCTCTTTTATAAGGATACTAGTCCCATTCATGAGAGCTCTCCTCTCATGACTTAATCACTGCCCAAAAGGCCCCATCTCCTAATATTACCACATTGGGGATTAGGTTTCAACATATGAGTTGAGGTGCAGGCACAGCTATTCAGATCATAGTAGTCTCAAAGCATGTGAGAGACCAACATTCTTGCCAAGTCTCAGTCCTTTTTCCCATGACGTTTATTTCACCATTCAGAAATAACAGACACAAACGAATTGTACCAATAATAGGAAATCCATGTAGATATGCAGGACTTCCTTATAGGGGGTAGAAAGTGGGGAACAAGGCATCCCAAAGCAGCATCTCTGCCTGTAGCTTTCCAGAAGCTCAGTAAGCCCATTTCTCTTCTATCATGTGCCACCACACCTGGCTAAAGTTCTAAAGATTGTTTTGGTCACCTTGAATGATCTTTGGTGCTTTCCACAGAAAGTTCCACCAATATAATGTACCTAAGCTATTCCTAGGGTCTAGAGTCTACAGATGTCTGAACTTATCAATTTTAGGTTTGAGGGCTGTGAGTTTTAGGGATTCCCTATCTGGTAATTTGCTTCTTCCTTTCAATAGTACTAGATTTCCATGTCCCTATCTCTGTCATCTTTTCAACATTTGCTATAGTCAGGTCCTTGCCTGACAACTAGAATTGATCTGTTTTGATTCTTTAATAAACTGAGTTTTTCTTTCCATCTCCTTTATCATTTTTAGCATGGGAAGAATTTTTGATACGTTAGAACTGGTGCTAAGCTAGTAGACAAGGAGATGGGGCCTATATCTATAAACCATTTGCCTAAATGGTTTTGTGACAATAGGATTTTCATCTCTATTCTCTCGTTTCATATTATGAAGAAGTATAGGTAAAGGTCCCCTTAAGCTTAGGTCTGAAAGTAACAATGCTTTGAATCTGCACATATGGCAGATAGAAGGGTTCCACCTTGGGGGTTAGGGTCTCCACCTCTCTTCTGCCAAAAATGCACCTACTATCCCATTCTGAATCTTGATTGCACATATGAGTACTTTGGAAAACTCTAGGTGAAATTAAATGAAAACTCCCCTCTTCAAAAAAAGAGCAGTCCTCATTTTGTATTTGTCAGTGGGAAATGAAGCCAGAGGTGGATAACCTGAGGTATTAAGAAAGAATTTCCTACTGATTTGTAGTTGCTTATTATGATCTAATCATACAGAGGCACTCTTTTTTTCTACTGTTCATTTGGAAATAAATTTAAATTTACAGTGTTGTAGAAATAAAAAAATAGTGCAACAAACATCCCTATACATTACCCTATACACTCTAGGACTTCCTTGTAGGAGGCAGAGTGGGGAACAAGGCCCTTTATCCCTAATGACTTAAGTCTTTATTTCCTAAGAATAGGTAAATTGTCTTATACAACCACAGAACAGTTATCAATTCATATTGATAAATTTATATTCATATTGAATAGCACTATAGTTATACATTTACATGATACAGCACTTTTATGTAATCAGTCATCCATATTCCAGTTTTGTCAGTTGGCCTATAAATATCCTTGATGACATTTTCCCCCTCCAGTAAAGGATCCAGTCTAGGATCACATATTACATTACTTTGTGTTTTTAGCCTCTTATCTGGGACATTTCCATAGCCTTGTTCTTTAATAATATTACCACTTATGAAAGATACAGTCACACCCAACTCCCCTCTTCAAAAAAAGAGCAGTCCTCATTTTGTATTTGTCAGATTATTTTTCTTGTGATTAGATTGATGTTATACATTGTTGGCTAAAATGTTGTGCAGGTGATGTACTGTCCTCGTAGAATCACATCTTAAGCACATGCTGCCTATTGGCCTTTCATTGGTAATGTTATTTATTTACTTATTTATTTATTTTTGTGGTATTGGGAATTGGACCCAGGGGTGCTCTACCAATTGAGCTACATCCCAAGCCCCCTTTTTTTATTTGAGATAGGGTCTTTCTACATTGCTGAGGTTGGCCTCAAACTTGTAATTCCCCTGCCTTATACTTCCGGGTAGCTGCAATTCTAGGCATGTGCTACTGTGACCAGCTGCTAATGTTATTTTGATCACCTGGTTAAGCTGTTGCCTGATTTCTCCCCTGCATAATTATTGTTTATTTTTTTCCTCTTGCAACTAATAAGTAGTCTGTAGGACATATTCTTAAGAGCTTGCAAATAATCTGCTCTTCATCAAAATGTCCCCTAGGTGGGACACCATCCTTGATGATTTCTGCCTAAATTAATCTTTATTATGATTTTTCTTACTCCAGCACTCACTCCTCATTTACCAGTCTTTCCCTGGCATTCTGCTACAAGCTTGAGCCTTCCCTTCTCCCCTGTAATTATTGGTGTGGGCTCATCAATTCCTGTTGTTTTCAGTGGTTCATTGTTCACTATACTTTATTTTAGTGCTCAAATTGTTTTAGATTTTTCCAGTAGGAGTCCTTGCAATTTTATTACTCTGTCCTTGTGACATGCTTTCAATATTTTTTGAGCATTTTCTTTCTAACATAAACAAGATGTTCCAAGCTCATCTTACTCCAACTCTGTCCCCAGCCCTATAGCAAACCATTTCTCCAAAGAGTTCTGGTTTCTCTCAATGGAAGTGGTATTAGATACCAAGGTCTCAGTACTACGTGTGTTACTGGGATATTTGCTTTTTCTGCTCTTCCAGAAGACAGAGGTAAGAAATTTCTGTACACATGTTATGGTTTGGATATATGGTGTCCCCTAAAAGCTCATTGTGAGACAATGCAAGGAAGTTTATAGGTAAAATGATTGAGTCATGAGAGCTTTAACTTAATCAGTGCATTAATCTACTGATATGGATTAATTGGGCTGTAACTATAGGCAAGAAAGGTGTTGGTAGAGGAGGTAGGTCACTGGGGGCATGCCTTTGGGGGTTATAGTTTGTCCCTGGTGAGCAGAGCTTTCTATCTGCTTCCTGATTGTCATGTCCTGAGCTGCTCTTCTCTTCCACACCTTTCTGCCATGATGTTCTGCTTTACCTTGGGCCCAGAGTAACACAGTCAAACTTTTGTGGAACTGAGGAGACCTCTGAAAATATGGGCCGTAAATTAACTTTTCCTTCTGTTTGTTATTCTTGTCAGGTCTTTTGGTCACAGAGGTGAAAAAACTGAAATAACACACAAACCCACAAATAAGTGTATTTAAGCACATGTATAGCTATATATATATACAGATATACGACCAATATACAGACACATACTTACTTTGAGAATTCATGAATTTTCACAACTCTAATTCTAATACACAGATTTTTGTATTCCCTGATTCATATTTGTATATTCCTTCTTTTACAGTAACCTGAGTTTCTAAGAATATCAACATGTTTAATCAATACTGTAATATAACCAAGAGTTTCAACATTATTTCATTTATACCTCTGTAATAAAGATAGCCCACTGAAAAGTTTCAGATTTATTTGTTATATCCATTCTCCACAAACCATCCTGACTGAGAATATATACTTTGAGGGTATATAGTTGAATTGTTTTTTTCTTGACTTTGATTTTCTCTTCCTTTTTCCTTTAATGTGATTATAGTATTTATTCAAATTAAGTTCATTTATTTCATTTCAAAACTGTAATTTTTAAGTTTATTTTTCCTGACATTATTCGTAATTCCATAATTTTTCATATTGTTTAATAGAGTTTGTCAGGATTAGAGTCTGGTCAAACTCTTGTGAATCCCATGTTAAATAAACGTCACTAAATGAGACAGGATAGTTTTATCACAGGTAGTGTTGTGTTAGAGATCTATCCCCCCAAATTCGTTGGTCTTGGCATATCCAGACAGAAAAGCCATTTTTCTCCTTTGAACATCTTTTCAGGTCAAAGTAGAATGTGATATTAACAAAAATTTTTTTCAGTTATTTGCCAGTCAGTATGCCTGGCATGGTGATCAAAATTATATCTCATATTCCATGGAATAGCAGCATTTAGGGTTCTACTTAGCTAATATATACTAGTACTTTATACTGATTTTTTTTCCTGCTGGCTTCCACTGTTATCGGTTGTAAGATATTTGGATTATCACTCCTGGGAACACACAGTTGTTCAGGATGGAGATGTGGGTCCAGACTTTCTTATAAGAATCACTTATTGGGTAAGTCGTGGTTCTCTTCAATTTCTGGTCTGCTCCTCCCATTTTTTATAGGCTTCTCAAAGTCAACCTGCACAGTCCAAGAAGGAAGCCAATAAGGAGATTGTAAAAGATGTTTTCAAGAATATAAGCAAGAATAGGTGTGTTTACGGATCTGCTAAACACAAGGAGATGAAAATGAAAAGGTAAGAGGTGACTCAGATGGTATTGTTTTTGATGGTAAAGAAAAGTGTGTGACATCCTTTTGTCTTCCCTAAGAACATGTTTAGTGAGCCACAGTGGTGACTAGCACATTTACCCTGAATGCTGAAGAGTTACAGGCCACTTCTCTCTCCTCTTTCATGGTGTGTGTGCTTTTGAAAGATCCATTGTTGTTATTGAGAATTTTCCAAAAGACCTTATGTTAATCTTTTCTCTATTTTGGTAATTCAGTCTCTGTTTGAGCTGGTCTGTGCAAGGGAGTGTGGAGGCAACTTAACATTTCAAGGGACTCTCAGCATGTGACTGATAGTTCACCAGTTATCTCATCAGAAGCTTTGCCCCTTGTCACTTAAGAGGAATTACTATCTCCATGGGCCAAATCCATGTGTCTTCCAACTGTTACAGATAACTGTTTACATGCTGGACAAGCAGAGATGAGCATTGCCCATCTAAGATGGGAAAAATAATTTGCTTCTGAGAAAACTTTTCTTTGTGGTGCTGGGGATCAAACCCAGGGCCTTATGAATGCTAAGCAACACTCCAAAACTGAGCCATATCCCCAGCCCACTCTTACTGGAAAAAGACTTAGAAAGTAGAGAGTGACACCTTTCTGTATTCTCTCTTTATTCTAGTGGGAATTACTTCTTTAGAATTTCTTATTCCAATCTGCATTTGAATAGATTAGGTAAATGACTATGCAGGGCTATGCATAGGTTCCTGTGAGTAGGATATAAAGGTTGGGAGCTGAGTGTGGTGGTGCACAGCTGTAATCTAGAGACTTAAGAGGCTGAGACAGTAGAATCTCAAGTCCAAGGTCAGTCTTAGCACTTAGTGAGGGCCTAAGCAATTTAGCAAGACCCTGCCTCAAAATAAAATATAAAAAGGGCTTGGGGATATGGCTCAATGATAAAGTACACCTCTGAGTTCAATCCCTAGTACTCTACAAAAAACAAAAAAGAAAAGGTTAGGAACTCCAAAAAATTAACTTGCTGTGTGCATAGAACTCTTTGCTAATTGCCCAGCAGAAAGAAATCAAACCAGAAAATTAGCATTTATACCTACTTGGTTTCCTGCTGAAATGTAATTCTGAGGTTGGGTTTACATGTATATTTGACCTGATGCTGGCTCTTAATTGGATATTTGATTTATTTTTAGTTAATCTTTGTTGTTGGTTAGGGGTCTAACTTCATTATTTTGCATGGAGATATTTACTTTACCCAGTCTTGAGAAGATTAATCTTTTTCCTCTTGTATTGGCATACTTGTCAAAACAATTCAATATAAATATAAGGGTTTATATCTGGACTCTCAGTTTTATTCCACTGACCTATATGTCTGTCATTACCTATCATTATGCCAGTACCACACTGTCTGGATAACTGTACCTTTGTAGTACATTTTGAAATTGGGAATTGTGAATCCTGTGTTATGGCTTGGATCTGAAATGTCCCCCCAGAAGCTTGTGTGTTGAAAGCATAATTCTCAGTGCAACAAG